CTGAAATTCATATAAAAGCTGAATAAATATAAATTTACACACATTTACACAAGTAAATAAATAGACTCAACGATGGACTGAAAATCTGCGGATTTCTGCGCGCACAGATTCCATTTGTGTCTAGTTATTAGCCACATTAATTACAGTAGTTACGACTTTTACTTTAAAACACTCACTTATTATTAAACATCCATTAAGAAATGATTTGATTAACAAATGCTTTACATACAGTTGAAGAACAAGTTATTGGTCCTCCTATGGAATTTAAATTATTTTTTGAATATGATGTTCAAGTGATGATTAACAAAGTATGAACATTTTTCACAGTATTTCCTATTATATTTTTCGTCAGCAGAAAGTCTTATTTCTCTTAGTTTGGCTAGAAAAGTATATATAATAATATTCACTGAAAAGGTTAACATTAATAGCCCCCTCAAAAAAATACTTTTAATTTTATTTAGATTTTTCAATTCCACATAACTTAGTTAAACTAATTTATCTACTTAAGCTTATAAACGTCACTTGACACTGAATCTTGCAAAATAATAATGTGCGGTCAACAGAGCAAAGACAAAATGAATTGATTATTAAATTAAATATTAAAGTTATTATGTTTAAAAATGTGTAGAAAACAAATTTCAGTTAAAGAGCACTTTGAAAATATTAAAATATATATATATATAATACAATTTCACACAATGTAAAAAGTGCAAAACGATTTGTCTTGGGACAACATGAAGGAATTAATTTCACTTGTTGGTTTTTACTAATTTAAGTTGATTGAACATAAAACAATTACATGAAAAAAATCAAGAATTGTGTTGTGTCAGCTCATTAAAATAAATAGGAACAAACAGCAACTTAAATAAGGAACAAATAGCAATTTGTTGGGCTCATAATTATGTTTTTCCTAGATTTACGGTTTTACGGAAGAACCAAAACATTTCGAGCATGCCGTAGGCAAGAAAAACATGTGAAAATGTTTATGTTTGAAAATAAATAGCTTATTATTCTTTCAAGCATTTGGTGCTGTGATTAAAAAAATCAACAGTTTGAATATTTCTAAAAGCAGTTGAAATAATGCATAACACATTACACATTGTGTTATTGAATATCTGCACACACAGATACACATGCTCGCTCAGTGCAGGATGTTTCAGAGTGAGTATTTTGTGAACAGTACATGGCATAATGTCACTGTGATTTCTGCATTAAAAGTCGCAGTAAAAGTCCAGCCCGAGGCCAGAGAGAAGCACAGTGAAGAGGAGGAAAAGCTCAGCGGGAGAGCTGCAAAAGTAACGTGCGTGAGGAAATCCTCCAATCAATAATTCATACTGCTATAATTACACACATCTGTCTCATAGCTAAAAAGAGAGCGGTGTACTACGGCATTGTGAAATATTAAACACGTCGTGTAAATTCAGTGTGGGACTGGATTTAAATTTGCCATGAGAAAGGCATTTCATTGTAGACCATTTCAATAGCACACAAAACATACAGTTTATATACATGTTTATGTACTGTATATGTACTGTACATATAGATGCTTTTTTTCTATATAGAAGTATATATAGAAGAGTATATTTAATGGTATTAGCATTATTATTACTACATATCAAATAAAATAGTTCTATTCCCATCTGTATTATATTTCCATTATCATCTATTCATCTGCTTATGTCTCTGCAAATACACTTACAAATAACATCTGACATATTTTGCTATTTACATTTGACAAATTTTATAAGTATCAATTATTATTTATTGTTATTAATATTTTATTTATAACTTTTTTATATAAAAACTAGGGATGTCCAGATCCGATCATGTGATCGGAAACCGGGCCCGATCATGCAGTATCAGACTTGATTGGAATCGGATGTTCCCTCCCGATCAGGACTCGAATATATATATGTACATTTAGCAGCTTTAAGCGGAAAGCACGAGTATGGCTGTTTCTCAACATGCTTTCTTCGGGGATCTTTCATGCTTGCGTTCTTATGTAACGTCATCATCAACCGCCAAAGTTCAGTTCTAAAACTCAAGACCGCAAGAACAGAGGATGCATAAAAGTTCCCAGATGCGTTCTTGATATCGAGGACGCGTGAATGCAGAAATTCACTCGAGAAGTTCCAAAACTTATTGAGGCTGATTCTGATGTTTAATATTAGTTTAATATTAAAGTTCAAAGATATAACTTATCTATCTCAGGGATTGATGGGGACATCCCTAATAAAAACATTTTATACATTTAATGTTATTTTTAAAACTATTAAAATATTTTAAAATCATAATTGAATAATTTTTTTAAATTATTGTTTTTTATATTACTTAAGGATATACACTGAAGAAAAAGATCTAAGAAAGACGTTCCTAAAATGTTATGTCAGTAAATAAGTATTAAATAAGGATTCAATAAAATAAAATAAAATAAAATAATTATTTAAATTTGTTTCATATATTTATATAAAAATGAATAAACACGAAAAATTTATAATAAATTAAATTAAAGAAATCTTAATAATGGGAGCAACAAGGTTGCGCAGTGAGTAGCACGATCGCCTCACAGCAAGAAGGTCGCTGGTTCGAGTCTCGGCTGGGTTAGTTGGCGTTTCTGTGTGGAGTTTGCTTGTTTTTACCTTGTTCGTGTTGGTTTCCTCCGGGTGCTCCGGTTTCCCCAACAAGTCCAAAAACATGCGCTTTAGATGAATTGGGTAGGCTAAATTGTCCGTAGTGTATGAGAGTGAATGAGAGTGTATGGATGTTTCCCAGTGATGGGTTGTGGCTAGAAGGGCATCCGCTGTGTAAAACATTTGCTTTATAAGTTGGCGGTTCATTCCACCGTGGCTACCCCAGATTAATAAAGGGACTAAGTCGAAAAGAACATGAATGAATGAAATCTTTCTAATATTATTCATACTTATACTGAAGTCATATAATTTACACCCCCCAAACAAACAGAGTTATTTAAACCCATACACAGAATGAAAGCAAAACCATGCACAAAAACACACACGCTGGTTTGTTTTTGAGACTTGTGGGGACATTCCATATGCATAATGCTTTTTATACTTTATACAAACGGTATTTTCTTTCATCCTACAGAACCCTACACCAAACTCTACACCTTACAGGAAACTTTGGGCATTTTTACTTTCTTAAATAAACTCATTCTGTGTTGTTTATAAGCCTTTTGAAAACGGGTAAATAGGGCACTGTCCTCATAACACATTCTCCTTGTAATACCCATGTCATTACACACATTTGTGTCCCTATATGTCACAAAAAAGAACACAAATAAATGCACACATACAGTACATACACTCACACACACACACACACACACACACACACACACACACACACACAAAAAAACACACACACACACACACACACACACACACACACACACACACACACACACACACACACACAAACACACACACACACACACACACACACACAAACACACACAAACACACACACACACAATACGGACAGAACTTCTACCCCGTGGCAGTTCCAGTAAATGACAGTCAAGCTCAGCTCAGCTCAATGTAAGAGAGTTATGTCTGCTGGCGTGATTCACATAACTGGGCAGGTTTCTGCGTGTTTTTGAGGTAATAACAGTTGTTTAGCAGATACCTGCATCTTCAGTGAACAAACACGATTACACAATCCTTTTGTCAGTCATACTGTCATAGACCCCAGAAAGCCACAATGTTGCCATGATGTTGCCAAATGAAACAACAAAACAATGCAAATATAAATCTTTATACAGCATGTATACAGGCTAGAGATATGCGGAAGATTAAATGAAGATCATTTAATTAAGGATAATACTTAAAACTGAGCCGACTTTTGTAAATCATTGGTTGGGTTTAGGGAAGTAAGTGTGTGGGCACGTCAATCGATAAAATTGGTTGGGTTTAGAGAAGGAGGAGGGTGGGTCAGTCGATTTGGTCAGTCGGCCATTCAGTCAGTCAGACAGACAATCAGTCGACAGCAGCCTCTGGTGGGTTTACGCAAGAACAGTGCGGGCATGAACAGAACTCGCGAGAGAAATTTGAGATCTGAAAAAGCACACACAGCAGCTTCTAGTGGATTTGCGCAAACAAAAACTGCAAAAATACATACCTATACATAATATAATAACCATATTATTATTATTTTCCTACAATGGAAGTCAATGAATGCAGTAACCAGAATTCTTCCTTCTTGAAAAATAATAATAATATTTATTATTATTATACTGTATGCATATCTATATATATATATATATCTATATCTATATATATATATATATATATATATATATATATATATATATATATATATATCTTTTGTGTGTTCTTTTGTGGGATTTCTGGAGCTGTGCATACATGGATTTGCTCTTCAGTTTACTAGAACTTCTTTTTTAAACTGCTTTGACACAATCTACATTGAAAAAGCACTATAGAAATAAAGATGAATTGAATTCAACATTTTTTTTTAAATGATGAGCACATTTTCATTTTTGTATAAACAAACCCTTTAAATACACGTCTGATGTAAACTCAGCATTACATTAACAACATATATTTGCTCACACACACTTAAACATGCAACCTCTGCCAATGTATACTGTACATCTAAGATCCTGCTAGTGTATACTGTAAGTAATTACATTTAACCATTAAATGACTTCATTAAATCATTCATTCGTTTAACAACCAACCACGAAAACACTTTCTGTTGCATGAGGATGTTTACCAGCATCAACACAGACACGTCTTCCATTAATAAGGTCAACAATTAACCAATTAAAAGACTCAAACAACAAATCCATCATGGGAATTAGTGTAAACTGACATCCCGAATACAGGTGCACGTCCATTGCGTCAACGCAATTCATCTCCATTGTCTCCACAGCTGCGCGCATTCAAACACACACAAACTCAAGTCCACTGACAGTCCCTGATAACCTTCACAGATACACACACACTGGTATCCCATCTTACCCTCTCCTCGCTGTTCCTCCTCAGTGTTCCCACCGGCAGCTTGAGCAGGAGCCTACGGGTCCTACCGGGGGTCACGGCCGCCTGGACCACCATAGTGTGTGTGTGCGCGTTCGGCGTCTGCTGTCCCGCCACAGACAGACGGGCTGTTCCTCTGTCCCGCTCCGTCTCCACGGCTCCCTTCCACCAATTTTCCAGCCTGCCTTTTCTGTTTTTTTAGAAACGCGCTCGCTGCTTCTTTGTTGTTGTTTCCCGCACTCTTTCTTTCCTGAGTCTTTCAGCGGTGGACGTCTTCAGCCCATACTGTGGCAGCGTTCATTCTGCTTCCTTACGAGACGCGCGTGTGTATGTGTGTCTGAGAGAGACAGAAGAAGGGAGGGAGGTTGTTGTCTCTCTCTCTCTCTCTCTCTTTTTACTCTCTCTCTGGAAGTAGCTGTAGAATGGCGTGCGTTCCAGATACGTCAGCTTCGCTTCCTCCAGTCAAACTCAATTCAGGTCACTGGATTAATATGAGTATTATCACACACTCAGTCACGTGACCACATGGAAGAACGCATGTGTGTGTTCGTACGGGAAAGTTTTTACTGGTTTAAGTGGTTCACAAAAACTGCAAAAAGCCTTTCCTACTTATAATTTTTGTCTTGTTTTAAGTCCAAATATCTACAAAAAGAATCAATTTCTAGACAAGCCAAGAAATGTCTGGTTTTAGGAAATAAAAAGCCAAAATTAAGTGAGTTTTTCCTTAAAACAAGTAAAATAATCAACCAATGGGGTAAGCAAAATAATCTTGTTATTTCATTTTGCCATAAGATTATTTAGCTTACCACATTGGCAGATTAGTTTGCTTGTTTTAAAAAAAAATAACTAAATGTTTTTTTTTTTTTTTTAAGAACAAGCCCTAAACCTACCCCATGCCAGCAAACAACAATAATAATAAATATATTTAAAATATAAATACATATATGTGAATGTATACCCTCATCTGTGCAGCTACTTAATCATATCTCCATGAGTAATGTATACATGCACATATTTACAAGAGTCCGCTTAAACATCTGCATATATACTTATATGTCCTGCATATATCAACCCTCATTCAGAAAACGTACCCCTATATCCATTTTCGGTGATCATGAAATATGGCTCAGGAGGTACGTTTTTTGCAGATTTTGTTTTCACGAATCCACCAGAGGCCGCTGTGTAGGCTTTTTTGAGATCTAATATTTCTCTTATGAGTGCCATTCACGCCTGCTGTTTTTACGTAAATCCACCAGAGGTCACTGTCGACTGACTGACTTAATGACTGACTTAATGACTGAGCCAAACTCCTCCTTGCCTAAACCTAACCAATAGTGTTTTCAAAAGCACAGATTGACCCATTCACCCACTTCCCTAGACCCAATGGGTTTTAAAAAGCAATCCAGAAAAAGAAAAGCCATCGCCTGATTTTCACAGTGTTTTCAGATTTTACCACATTCTTACGCTGTTATTTACTTGTCTATTTTAATTTTTGGGTTCTGTTTTTTTCTGTTTTTGCTTTCTGGAACCGTTCTTCACCAAACCTGAACCACATCGTGGTCAACTCCTCTCTGCATCTCAAGGCCTCCGGCGTACATAGTGAGCTACTAAACAAACTGGTAACAGCAGGAAAGCCGTCCATACAAAGGTAAACGGTCAGCTGGTAAGCTTGAAAAAGAATGGAGTCATACCACCCCGTAATGTTCATTTTAAAGACGAAATGCAGCCATATGTTTCTCTGGCTACATAATTCATGATCTCCAGAAATGTACATAGGTCTACATTTCAGAAAACGCTTCATGAAATCTTTCACACCACTCAGTTATCATTGGTCAATCTCCAGATATTCAAGAAAGGACTTCCAAATCTTTAAGAATTTCTTTGGTTTACTTCAAATCTCAAATCTAATCTTTGCCATGGGTAATACGTTACTGAACTCTGTTAGCCATGTCTCAGATTTAGGTGTAAACTCTTTGTTCTGCATCAACAATAATACCCTTGTTGCTATAGTCATCTCATGATGAACTGTCTGGATTAGATCCAAACCACATGTTTTAAAAGAAAGGAGTCCATCCTAATATTGCAATAAGAGGGTCAAGGGGAAATCAGTCCTATATAAGTACTTTAGAGTAAAAAGATAACACTTCAGTCAAAAACGTAGAAATCTTTTTGTCAGAATCAAAATATGTCAGATATTATACCTTTATTGGACTTGCATTTGATACATAGAGATGATACAAACTCATCTTAACATATTATTTCTTAAAACAGGACAATATGTTTTGCTTGCCTAGAAAATGCTTCTTGATTTAAGAGTTTTTAGATATTTGGACTAGAAGAAAAGCATTTGCAGTGTAGACCTAGTTGTACAGTGGGTGACACATCAAAAGGACCATTACTTCTGTGTGTGGAGCCACCGCAGCACTAAGGGATTAAAGCCTCCTTTCCACTGCACACGACATATGACAAACGACAGATCACAAGTCATTCATTTCTAATGGAGAGTAGTCTGGGAGCTGCATATCTTCCTGCGTTTGTGGAAATTCGGATCCGAATTGAGCTGCGGATCCGTTGAAATATTTGCACTCCTGCGACTAGACCATATTCGACTGGCCGACTGGATGTAATATATTCCAGTGTTGTACAAGCTGGTCCGTGCGTGCGAGATGAGAAATAGGAGTTTTATTGGTTATTTTTTAAATTAGAAAAAGTCTGTATTAACAAAAAACATTTCTATTCATAAACTTAAGTAGTAAATTAATAAAAAATATAGATATTTTTTAATTTTGTCTCCACATTTCCTCCAATATATTTAGCGGTCTATGAGTTTCTAGTATTCATTCATTCGTTCAACCACTGTGAAGGCACACAGAATAATGGCTTTTGCTTTTGCACTCCTTTATTTCGGACACTGCGAGGACAGCTTCTCTCCCATGGTGCACGTCAGAACTGAAAATACTGTGCGACTGCCACAAGGGGGCGTATTCGACAGTCCAAATGTCGTGTGCAGTGGAAAGGACGGCTAAAGAACATGTTTTTAGGTGTAACAGCAGTTTGCGACTATGCCACCAAGGGGCGAAAAGGGACAGGATGCGAACAGACTGAAATAAACAGTATATCTAAATACTCTGCTTCTTGTAAATGAAGATGAAATAACGAAACAAAGTATTATAATTCCTTCATTAATCATTAAAAACTTAACAAGCTTTATTATTATTGTAAACTTGTTTAGTGAAATGAGGATTCATTCACCATGTTCTTGTAAACATACAGTATAGTGTAAAAGCATGTGTATAACTAAGCAAACCAGAACAACCAAACAAAATGATAAGTTAATTAAACACATCACATCACATCACATACAGTACCTGTGCATATGGTACACATACAGTACTGTCTTATCTAGTAATGTGAAAAGGCAAAGCTGAAAACTGTGTGTTGATGTTTTAGCTGAAAAAGTCTATGGTCAAAGCTCCACCTAGCGGTCAAAAGCTGCAGGTGCATTTACTGCCATCGCCGTGATGGCGAATGCGGCAGCAGAGGGAACATATTGAAGTGTTAACATCTAGAGTTTATTAAGGTGGTTTATGAGGTCCTGCCTTGTGTCCTTGTAATTCAAAATGCTTAAAAATAATTTTGACATTCAAATATTACCACAGATTCCTTGTGAGGGTTGAGTGTATGGAAAAAGCCATATAATATATTTTTTTTATATATAAAATACATTACATCTCATACAGAAAGTCCTCGTAAAACACCAATACCAAAATGTGTGTGTTATTGTGTGTGTTAATGCTAGGATGAAGTGTATGCGAGTGTGTATAAGAGTGTTGTAAAAGATCCATTCTCCTGCTCAAACAGAATATCTGATGTTTTGCCATCTGCTGTTCAGATTAGCTGTAAATCCCATGGCTGCTTTCACCAGACACACACACACACACACACACACACACACACACACACACACACACACACACACACACACACACATACACGCACACATGTGCACGCACACACATGCACATATACAAAGGGAAAATACCCTCAAGCTGCCAACAAGATTACACACTAGGGATCGACGCATGTGTGTGCAGGACATTATCGCCTGTGTGTCCTGACAGGGACCATGTCTTGTTAAAAACAGCACTAAATGCCTGTCCGTCCTTCTCTGCTCTTCAAAACTAAATGATGCATGCAGATGGCTGATATTAAGTATTTTTGGAGATGTCTAGAAATCTGCACTGGAAGGATGTGATGCATCATCTTGGATGAGCTGCAAATTTCAAGAGTGTTTTAACAGGATTATCTAAAACTGTGAACAACTAAAATCTAAAATGTAAACAACATTCACTGTCATTGCACTGACCGAAAAATAAATGAAGAAGTAACAAAAAATTGACTGGCAACTAAACAGTATGCATGAAAAAAAAACTATATATATATATATATATATATATATATATATATATATATATATATATAAAATTGTAAAGCATTAATTATCAATAATTGACATGATGATGATAATAATAATAATAATGATAATAATAATAATATTAATACATTATCACTTGCATTTAATGAATGCAAGTGATTTGAAATGACAAAATATAAATATTCTACATTTAATTTTAGATATAAATAAATATTTATATTAAAATTAATAGATATTTATATTTATTTTATATATTTATATGATATTAAGTAAATTTTTACATGTATATTATATATTTAAATTATATTAAGTAAATATTTTTATTTATATTATATATTTATATTATATTAAGTATAACTTATATATTTATGAAAACAATGTTATATGCATCTAATCTGTAGATAAATTTACATTAAAAAGTACAAAATAATAATCACAATTCACCCCAATTAGATTGTTATTATTTACTTGCATGCAACTGTATTATCTGTATGCGTATATGTATTAAAGCTGCAACTAAATTAAGTTATTAATAGTTATTTCACAGCCATATTTAATCAATTATTTTAATATAAGATAATTTGTTTATTACAATACTCTCTCTCTCTCTCTCTCTCTCTCTCTCTCTCTCTAGAAAAAAATAAATAAACAGAAAAGAGGAATGGTAACCACCGTGTTTTGGTATTTAAAACCAAATAATGTAAATCAAGAATCATTGTTAATTTTAATTATTATAAAATAATAAATGGCATTAAAGTTTTTGAAATTAATGTGTTAGTGTTGCGCTGTTGGATTGTGTGTTTTGTTATTATTGAAGAGTTGCATTTTACAAATGAATTGATTTGATTTGCAAAAGAATTGTTAAATATGTAATAGAAAAACTCTCTCTCTCCATGCATTACACACACAGAACGACAGGAATAGAGCAGAGAAGCTTTCTCTTCTAATCCCTGCTCAGCATTATTCATTCAGTAGCTGCTCTAGATTAGGAATATTAAAACCGCTTTCTATTTTTAGCGCACTGCAGAGTTACTAAGGGTTTGATGG